CTCTCTCTCTCTCTCTCAAACACACACACACACACACACACACACACACACACACACACACACACATCAGTCAATAATGTAAGGATGGAAACATCTTACCTTCCCAAGTACCCCTGTGATTTAGTGTTTTACCCATCAGCTATAACGATACCCACTCACTGTACCTTGGCAATCATCCTATGATCTTATTTAAGTGACCCTTTGGGATGTAACTTCAAAGGCTACTCCCGTCTTTATATAGTTTCTGCAGAGACACTTAAGTCAGATTCTCTTTTAAGTAGTCTACACCCATACTTGAGTGTTCCTCATATTTTCCTGTGCGTTTCTCTTTCTTGCACCCAGCTCTTTCATGTTTACATCTCCATTAAAATAAATATCTTCCTGGTAAACTCCAACTCTGCCTTCTATTGGCTTGCCCTGATATTTTTTTTCTGTAGCTAAGAGTCCTGGCTTCACCTGAGTAGAAGTATCTGACCAGAGCTCACCAGGCTGTTTCTGGCAGCAGGATGGTACTGTCCAAGGCCCACACCACACAGCCGATGCAAAGAACAGAGAGGCAGTGAGGCTTGTATTTTGTAAAAGCAAGCTGGATGATAGTATTGGATTGGCAGGTGGCTGAAATAAAACTACAGTGTTTCATGATAGCTCATACAGCCTGCCTTCGAGTTGTTTATTGTTTATTCATACCCAATTTTCCTATAATATGAACATCAATAAGACAGAAATTCATTTTTTGTTTCTCATTGTTCTTTTCCAAAGGTATGGGATAATACTGGGCAGTGGCAGGCACGAGGTATGTACTCAGTTAATGAATAAAATTACTGAATATAAGTTTCTCTTTCATTGTGAAAAGGAAGATGGTAATGTAAATTTAGTTTCTATTTCCTCAAAAGGCCTAGAAGCGGCAAATATCTTTAGTAAATTGTTTTGCAAGCATTTGGGCTGTGGGAAGATCCAAAATGACATAGATTGACACGAGCGAAGATGCAAACTGATAAATGTTGACATTCCTACCGAGGCGAGCTCCCAGGACTGCTTGCAAAGAATGCACTGGGAACCCTGGTCTGTGTGGGTATTACGTTTTGCCATCTCTGTTTTACTTTATTCTTTGACAATTTCATGCATTCATATAATGTTTTTGATCACATCTGCTCTGAATTCCCCTATCTTATCTCCTACCCACTCCTCTGGATCCCCCCCCCCCTTTTCCCAATGCATCTTTCTCTTCCGTTCCTGTATTTAAAAAAAAAATAACACTGAGTTTAATGGGAGTTGTTTGTGTGCGCCGTGGTGTCAAGTTATCTACTCAATTATAGGCAACTTACTAGTGGCATTATCACTGAATAAAAATGATTGCCCCACCCTCAATGGCCATCACCTGCCAACAGTTCCTCAGTGACAGGTGATGCTCCATGCAGTCCCCTCCCATCTGGGTCAGAATATCGATGCAGGTAGCCACAGTACGGTGACTTTGTACCTACGATGGCCATGTCATATCCAGGAGACAGTGTTTAATGCCACTCCTCTCCATCTTCAGGATCTTTCCTCCTTTCTGGCCCCTCTCCCATGTTATTCCCTGAGCCTTGGGGTTGAGATGGGATGTAGGTGTCCCATTTAGGGCTGAGCAGTTAACAGTCCTAGAAGTCTGTATTTTTAGGTCCAGCCTTGTACTTACTTATGTGAGCTTGGCTGTACAACTTCTTTCTCTCTCTCTCTTACCTCAGTAAAGTTCAAGGGCTCATAGTAGGTGCTCAGCAGATGGGCTACATGGTAGCTACAATGGGAGTTAGGAGTAGATTCCTTGTGACCCGCAAAGCTGGAAAGGAAGAAAGTGTTCTAATGTAGTTTTTCCCTCCAGGCACAATATGACTATCCCATTGTGATCATGATGGAGCCAGGAGTAGTCTTGGCACCTCTCAAACTACTGCAACAAAATAAGTAAAAGATACAGTAACAGCTCTGCAGCTGGTGATGATAACAAGGGAGTTAACTCTGCCTAGTGGAAAAGAAGAGAGAGAGAGTCTCCAGATGATGACTTGGGATTTCATGTATCCGTCCTACCTGTCCTGAAGCTGCGTGTGGCCTTGGGAGTAGTACGAGAGTACTTGGGAGGTGGAAGTTTTGCTAAAAATGTGACTCAAGTAATACAGCTTTTATGAGGTCATTATCTATGCCAGAGTGGGACTTTGAAGTGGTAACAGCTGTCTTGGGGTCACCTACACTCCTGTAACTAATCCAGATAAACTCACTGGCTAACCGAGTTGGACTCAGGTGGAATTATTTCATTGGTTTGATGTTGGTGCCCCTTCTCAAGAGGTGGATTGGCATTTGTTCATATCTTCCCTAGGAAAATAATGCAACTTGAGACTCAGAGATCAGAAGGTGAAACCCTTAGGGTAAACCATCTCTTTTCACCTTTAATGCTACAAGATGATGGCCAGAGGTCTTCTGGGCCTTCTGTGCTCACTCTGCCCTGGCTTTGTACAAGCTTTTATTTATTACTCAGTGCCTAGTTGTAGGCAAAGACATTCTGACCAGCTCAGGGTCAGCTATAAACCTGTACCCTTCTGGAGAATAGTCATCTGTTGAAACTAGATGTTCCCCAGTGGGAACAAATTCTGCATGAACTCCTTGCTGGACAGCCATTCCCCAGGCACTGTGGATAATCTCAGATGTCTGGGAAATCCTGACTCTAGGGATCATAGGACTCCTGCTTAGAAGCAGATCATTTTCTTCATAGTAACTACCTGGTCCCTCTCCTCAGAGCTTTTCTCTATTAAATTTTTCTCTACCTGTTTGGGTCTCGGTTGTGGACTGATGGTTTATACATTTGTGTCTCCTCCAAACTGATAGTAACCAAAATGACATGAACTTTTCTGTTTTTGCAAAGCCTGTCACTGAGTTGCGATTGACCCTAGGACGATTTAGAGAAGCCTTGGGCTGTACTTTAAGTAGCCAGCGGTGAGGAAGGGACACTTCTGCTTTCTTTCCTTAGCCATGGTGGCCAGTACAGAGACTAAGTGAGGCTGTGAGCCAGACAAGGGAAGGTGAGAGTTGCAGGTAGCCCTGTGAGCGGTGTCTGGCATCTGTCTGCATCTTTAAATTGGCATTAATTCCTGGGTTTTGAGGGTCTGAAAAGGATGTGCACAAGGTCTCTGTCCTAAATGAATTCTGTTGAATGAATATACCAGTAGAAAAGGAGATCTGATTGTTCATAACACCACATACTGGTTATGCTACCTTGATTAAACTACTGTGGAACAGAAACTCTCTAAGTATGTTCTCAGCCAGGAGCAAACGTACAGACCTCATCTGGTCATTTGAGCATTCTAGACATCCCTCTGTGGGCAAAATAAGGAACCTCATGGGAAAACTCACGCTAGGGAAGGAATGATGAGGTGGGGGTAGGATGAGATTTGTCTTACTAGGAACCCTCAGTGATGGCGGGATAATTTTAAGTACCCACTGGTATGGGCCACTGATGTGTGAGTGGAGAGAAGGAAGCACAAGATGCCTCACTTGATGAGTCTCTGAGGTACAGGCAGAGCTTTACTGAAAAACTCTAAGCAGTAGAATGCTGCAATGGGCTCTTACTGGCTTCTAAGACTTGTCAGATCCAGGTGTGAGCATCATGTCCCAGTGACATAGATGTGGTAGTTTGAAACTGGCCATGTCAAAGGTAGTTCACCATGGAAATTTCTAACAACTGTCAGTCAAGATGATGTTTTTTTGTCCCCTAGAGGGCTGGTTATGAAACATTTGCCAGAATTCTCCATACAGGAACCTTTGTGACCTAGTCTTCTCTCTGTTGCTGGGGTAAACCACTCAGACAAAGAGTTACTTATGGACGAATCGCTTGATTTCAGCTTACAGGTTACAGTCCGTCATTAAGGGAAGTCAGGTTTAGAACTCAAGCAGGAACTTGAGGCCGAAACCACAGAACACTGCTTGGTGGTTTGCTTGAAGACTCATTTTCGCCTGCTTTTCTTACATAGCTCAGGACCACATGCCTAGGGAATGACTACACCCTCAGTGGGACGGGCCCTCGCATGTCAATTAGCAGCTAAGACAATCTCCCACAGTTACATCTGCAGGCCAAGGTGATTTGAGCAAACCCTCAGTAGCCTGCCTTCACTGATTCATCTGAAAATGCCTTGGTTTATAACATTCTTTCATTCTGTTGATATCAAGTTCAAGTAACACTTCCATGCAGGAGCATGTTGTTGGGCAACCTGAATTCATGTTTCTGGGACATGGGCACACACATTTAGCTCAGAATAAGCTCTTATTCCCTGTGTGGAAAAACGGGCCATGGAAAGGTTTCCTTTGGTTTCACGTGAAACTTGTTATGCAATAGACTTTGCAAGGCAGAGGCGGAGATGGGCATATGAAAGGGAGGATCTGGGGGGGGGGCAGTTGTGCACTGTGATGGGCTTACCATGCTATTTGTCTCAAGCCAGTCTCCCTTGCTTAAGTACCTATTTCTCTTTCATAAAGACTTCATGCCCCATGAGTGATGTCATGGTTTGTGTGTGCATGTACATGTTGTCTCTTAACAAACTGCTGAAATCACCAAATAATAAAACTAGTATTTATGTGCCCTGTATTGGTTACTTTACTCTTCTCTGTGCCAACATACCTGACAGAAACAGGCAGAAGGATTGATTTTTATCTAATATTTTCAGACTGTCTAGGACCTCATAGCTAGTGGGAACCTGAGAGAGCTGTTCACTTCATGGCCAACTAGGAATCAAAGATCCAGAAATGATATGCCCACAAGGGGCCACCCCTAGTGACTTCACTCTTTCAACTAGGTTCTACATCTAGAAGCATCTACAGCCTCTCAAATCAGCTGGACCGGCTGCGGAGCAAGTGTTCAAAATATGAGCTAGGCAGGACGTTGTAGATTCAAATCCAGCATTCTCCTCTTCTATGGACTGAGTATATGTTCTTGAATTGGTATGTTGGAATTGCATCACCAGTGTGATGGTAGTATGGCCGTTGCAAGCTTATAGGAAAGGAAAGCAAATTTCAGGAAAGATAAGAGATATGTGGGGGTCCTACAGAGTGTTCTCTGAGTAGCATAGTATATAACTTCTATGCGATAGGTCCTCCTCATTCAACTCGACCACCCCCATAGTGTTTATCCCAGACATGTAATATGCCTTAAGATACAACTTGGCAAGCATTGTTATATCAGCTCATCCTTTATCCAGAAATTGTTCCAGAATGTCTACTTAATCAAGGACTAGGAGAATGCTGAAGCAAAAAAGAGTGGAAACCCAGTTTTGGTAACGAATTTACAGTTTGGCTTCCACCAATTATCTGTAGCATTTGGAATTACAAGCTCATGTTTTTGTAACCTTCTCATTGGGATTTCACTGACAGCCATGGTCTCTGCCCACACTGTAATAGTTTTGAGGATCACATAGCAAGCCTCAGGCATTGAGCTTAACATCTGTTTCCATTTCAAAGTCTCACCCACAAGTTATCACCTGCCTCTGCCCGTGTGAAATCGAGCCCTCGCTTGTATCTTCCAGATCTAGATAACCTTTAAAGTGCAGGTGCCATTTTGGTTGGCCCATTTATCTATGGTCAGCTTTACTTGACATTTTTATCTTGATGAGCTTAATATTGTAGATTTCTGGGCAAAGGGATGAAGCCTGTGGTGAAGGCTCAGAGCAACATGGGCTTGTAATAATTTTCAGCAAAGAAGGTGGAAACAGATCACACCCAGAGATTAAAGAGCTGAGAAGCCCCAGAGTACTACAGAGATAAGGGCAGGTGGCTCCTTGTTCTGAAAGCAGAGAGGAGGAATAGCTGCCCCTTTTCAGGGAGAAATGGGAAATTTTGTGAAGATTGCAATATATATATATATATATATGTGTGTGTGTGTGTGTGTGTGTGTGTGTGTGTGTGTGTGTGTGTGAGATATGAAGATAGCACAGGGATAGACGGGCATGAGCAGGAATAATATAGAGCGGGAAAACTAGAAACACAGCTAGGGAAAGCCATTTGCTCAGGTCAATGGCGGCATAGTCTGATAAGAGGAAGTAACAAGAGAAGTCTAGACTGAGCAGTTGTGCTTGGTACAAGAAGCCTTTAACCCCAGCACTCGGGAGGCAGAGGCAGGCGGATCTCTGTGAGTTCGAGGCCAGTCTGGGCTACCAAGTGAGTTCCAGGAAAAGGCACAAAGCTACACAGAGAAACCCTGTCTCAAACAACAACAACAACAACAACAACAACAACAACAAAAGAAGCCATAGAGAGACCATTGGTGGGTCAGGTCGGGACAAGACATGTTTGAACTTTTATTTTAGAAATATCACTGGCTTTGATTGGAAATTGGTTTGTACGTAAAGCAATTAGTAAGAGGCAGGTGACCGAGTGGGAAGCTGTGACAGTTGTCCAAGGAAGGGATGGAGAGGATAAACTAAATTAAGGCTAGGCTGGGGCAGGATGGTGGTGGTGGGGTGGGAGGCAGGGGGGAATGGGAAGAGTGAGAAAGACATTTTGGGGATTTCAGGAAAAGGACTCTTCAGTGACTGATCCATCATGAGGATGACAATGTGGCCAAGACTGGTGACTCAGTTATCTGACAGAGGTCAAGACGGTGAGCTATGCCTGAGATGGGGAATCTGTGGAAGGAATGAATGGTTTTGTTTTTCCTTGATTTTGTTTGGTGGTAGAGCTTAGTGAGGACAAACTTGTTTCCACATGAACTGAGGCATGTGAAGAAACCAGAGGTAGTCGGATATTTTGGTCTAAGACTCAGAGAGGAAAAAGAGATCTCCAAGAATAAGTCTCAGAGCAGACTGCGAACATTTACAGGACAGACTTATGTCAACCAGCACTTGAAGGAATCTGAGGACAGAGTATGGAACAGGAAGAATCCAGGGGAATAGGACAGCACAGAAGCCCAGAGGAGAGGACGTCTCAAGATAGACAGCTCTCTGAGCAGTGTCAAGTCTGTCATTACCCCATGTGCTCCTGCTCCACATTTCAGGGCGTCTTGTTTTTTATTGTGACCTCAATTGTGTGTAAAGCTATTGCAAGCAGGCTAAGAGAGTGGTCTGCACTTCTTTGGGCTATGGTGGAATTCCCAAGTCT